TCAAAGAACATCTACATCACCATCTTCGACATCTAACGGTGTATCATCCTCATCCGCCAGGGTTATCTTGTCCAGATCTATTTCCAGACTTTCAGCAGTGCTTCGCAGTTCTTCAGGTTCCAAGTTGGGACCCTCCTTCCCGTTTCCCGTAGGCAGCATCTCCTCCATTGTTTCGCTTAGCACTCAATCAGCTGGCCAAAAGGTTTTAGTGGTTGAAAAACTTGGAGTTTAGGGTTTGCTTTCCTTACGTTTCTGTTGCTTCAAAACTCCTTCGAAATTCCTTTATATGGATGTAGAACACTAGTACCAAGTAGGTAGAACTCTCTTGCAGGCACCTCTAATCCTTCTAGGAGTAGAGATCCTTGTTCGATCAGTAATCAAAAACCTCCTTCGCCTCGGAAAGCCTTCGACACCTATTCATATGCTTCTATTCGCATGATTTCGATCTAAAACATTCATAGATTCTGGATATCAAGTCCTCCTCCGATAAATTGGCTAGCTAGTTTCACCTGATATTAAATTCACCGGGAATTCAAAAATTCAAATTTTGAAACAAAAAACAACTAGTCATGGATTACGTTACGTCCCTGCTTTCTTTTGCGTGTAACTGACCATAACATCTATCTATCTATCTATCTATCTATCTATCTATCTATCTATCTATACATAATATTATAGCAATTCAAAAGTAGTTTGTTGCCACATAAGCATTTGGAGAATTTACAAGGTGCCATGGTGGACACTTTTTTTACAAACAAAAAAGTTAGTTAATGATCAATTAATGTAGCTATATCTATCTTTTTTAATATTTTCTTTTTATTTTAATGATCTTTTATGTAACTATCTCTTTCTTCTTTTAATATTTTTTTATTCAATAATTGTATTTTTTGATATATGTGTGTAGCAGTAGTATACTTATGTTTCGAGAGTGACATATATTATAATGCTTCAAAAAATATATTTGATTAAATATGATCAATTAATTTTTCTTTTTATTTTTATTAGAACTTAATATAGGTTATATTCTGATACAAAAATAAAGTAAACACATAGATAAGTAATAACATTTTTTATAAACAAAATATAATGAAGAAAGTTTAGATAATCAACATTTAATAATCAATTGAATTTGAAAAACCAACTATATAATTTTATGTTTTGTTTATGAAACACTATCTCTTTCTAATGTTTGTATCTATCAACAAAAACAATTATTAAATAGCAAAAAATTACATGCAACAAATTAATGTAGCTAAATCTATGCAACAAATTACATGCACAAACTTAGGGGTTAAACTCTATGATTTAGATAACTAAGACCTAGGGTTCACTCATTAAGGTTTAGGGTATAGTATCATGCCCACAAATCCGGTTAATTCGTGGTCCATATAGCATTTTCTTACTTAGAGTATAGTATCATGCTTAGATATTGACAATAGATGTGGCATTACACCAACAAAATGAAGATATTAGTATAAGTAATGGAATTTTTATCTCAAAACAAACACCAAAGATAAATAAATTTGAGCAAATGCATATTTGATAAGTTAGAAAATTATTCAACAATGGACCATGTTAAGATTAGAACCCTCGATAGTGTGTGCGTATCTTTGACCGAGATTCTAAACAAACATCTAAACAATGACCATGAGTTGAGGGTGAGTCTATATTAAACTTCAGGAATTAACAATTGGTACATATTGTATAAGATATTAAGTTGAGTGTCTTGATAGACAAATATGATCTTACACTAGAACAATAAATTTTCAATTGGGATGACCAAATTTATGTAATATTGAAGTAACTTCATAAAAAAATTCTAACTAAGTTGTCGTCATCTGAGCAATATCATTGGTTGAGAGTTCGTCCAAACTCGAGATTCATTGAATGGCATATATTGTATAAGACAAAAAAAAAATTGAGTATCGTTATTGACAAATCTTGACATAAGATTCTATATGGGACGTGATATATCTTTGTGACATGATTTATGATCAGTGAATCGAAGCATCATAAGTGAATGTGCTAAGTATTGAGAATTTTTAATTTATAGACGCACCACATACTCACCAATGAATGCAAATGTAAAAAATTTAGAAGATCCAAAATAGTTTAAAAATATAGATAAATTGATTAATGTAAATGTTAAATTAAACTCACCGGCCAACGGACCGGGTAAAAAGCTAGTACAAGTTATACAAGGCATCTTCACTCTTCAATCTTCAATAAGGAAAGGTAATATGGCAACAAGAAAACATTTCCATAGCCCAAATCTCTTTTTGAGAAATAATTAAACAAACCCACATATTCAAAATTAACTATTTAATTCCTTTATTCAACAGGCGGCGGATGAATGCTAGCTAGTCCAAATCTCTTTCTGAGAAATAATTAAACAAACCCACTTATTTCAAAATTAACTATTTTTAATTTCCTTATTCAACAGGCGGCGGATGAATCCATTCGATATGTGATCGGAAAGCAAATTTGTTTTCTTTCTCAGCCACTGATATTGACGGTAAACTCAGGGGCGGACCCAAGGGTTTTAGGGGTGTCCCGGACACTTCTAAATTTCGGGAAAAATGATTATTCAACCCCCGGTAGTAATTTACGTATAGACAAAAAAAATATAATTGATAGTGAGGGACACCCCTGAAATTTGAAAAAATGATTACTGTCATTTGTGTATAAAAATATAAATGGTAGGTTGGGTAATTCAAATCTAGAACACTATTAATATTAATAAACTTAATTTCCGTTGAGCTACAACTCATTTGTTGTTCGATTTAGAACAATGTGTAATAGTAAAAAGTCATTCCCTATCTCTAATTATTTCAATCTAAACTAATTTCAATCTACCCTTAATTTGTATTGATTTTATGATTGTACGGCAAGTGTTGAAGAGTCTTTCAGCTTGGGTTACATCAAGAACAAGTTTACAAATCGAATATGCGATAAGTTCCTGAATGATTGTCTAGTAGGGTATATAGAGAATTTTTTTTTAACACTATAAACACCAAGTGTATTCTACAATTATTTTCAAATATGAAAACACATCATAGACTTTTTTAACCTGTACGAGTAAGATATTTTCATATTTACGATTTTATTTTTATTAATTATTTTTATTTAATTTATTTTTTAAAAGAGGACACCCCTGTTGAAAATTTCTGGGTCCGCCACTGGGTAAACTATAGCACTACTATCTTACTATTTACCAACTCACAATTAGTAAAAATGCGAATAGATTAATTAAACAATCCTCGTACTTATTTTCAAAATTCCAAATGAAAATATTTATGTGAAAGGAGGTTATGCAAATCCAACCTCGTATCAGGGCGGAGTCAGGATTTCGAAACCGGGTGTGCCGAAAATAGATAAATATAAATAAAATAATTATTTTATTTATTTTTAGAGTATACAACATTCTTTGAGATCATTGAAATCTTTCAAAATAGCATCTAAACTAAAAAATTTAGCTATCTTTCTTTCAATATAACTAAATCATTAACAAGAAAATTATCATTTATTTTGTTTCGCAATTTATTCTTCACTATCTTTATACCTGAAAACATGCACGATCACATATAGCTTTAAAAATTTGGAAGAGTTAGAAGAAGACAAATCAACCTATCAACAAAATAAAATTCTTTTGACAATCATCTTTCTGTTGATTCCGACATAGATAAAAAAAAAATAGATCATATGGTTTCTATAAAGAGCTAAAAATCTCATGCGAACTAAGTAGAGGTTGATTTTTTCATTTGTAGTTGGATTAACGTAACAAAAAGAATGAAAATGAGTGAGTTTCCGTTTGCTTTGGTCCATGACCTTGTGGAGGAGAATTAAGATAATAAAGTACAAAAAGTAGTTAAAGCAAAAATGAGGTTGTTGTGGATCGAACTAGTTTACTTCAGGCTAACAATTTAGCTTAGCTACTAGTAAACTACATGACTATTGCATGATACAATGTATAGATCAAGCACTACTTATCCAAATTTTATCTAAATATCCTTATGGTCCTAGGGGTCGAGACTATTCCCGGGTGGGCCGGGGCCCACCCTAGTCTCTAAGTAGCTCCGCTCCTGCCTTGTGTTGGCCACTTTTTTATATTCATAAGCTGTATCTATCTCGTATATATAATTATAATAATCTAGAATTACCACAATAAATGTTCAATAAACATGTTAGAAGGTGAACGATGATGGTACACTGGATCTGGTGGGACCTCCTACCATGCATTGAAGTTACTATAACTTGATTTTTTTGACCTGCTATAGCAGGTTTTATAGGTCGCATTACGTAAAAATAATGTTTATTACGTAACAAGTACCTAATGCATATTAGTCTTACGTAATAGTTAAACTAGAAGCATTATGGAAGGTTTCCGTAATGACTTATCATTTTACGTAACGCTAGGTTAATATTCATTACGTAAAAGCATCGTCTATTACATAAGGCTTCCGTAACGACATTTTACAACTGTTACGTACAATACACGCTCAATACGTAAAGGTTACGTAACAAAGGTCATGTATTACGTAACAGTTAAATTAGAAGTGTTACGTAAGACTTCCGTAATGACTTACCACATTATGTAACTTCATTAATATTCATTAAGTGCAAGGACCATCTATTACGTAAGGCTTTCGTAGCTAATTTACAAGTGTTACGTAATATATGCATCTATTACGTAAAGGTTACGTAATGATAGTTATTGGGTTAATTGCATGGTTGGTCATCACTGAGATTACAAAAAAACGTTCAAGTTTGGTCACTCGAAATATTTAAATACATTGATGGTACTTCACTTTACTGAAACCGTTCACGTTTGGTCACTCTCCACCAACTCTGTTAACTTTTGCTTACGTGGCGGTCAACTCTAAAAGTTGACAGTTAAATGTGTGACATGGCAATTTAAAATTAATAAAATAAATTTTTTAAAATTGCCATCTCATTTCCACCTCATTATCAATTTTATTTAAAATAAATAAAAAAAAACTTTAATTTATTCTAATCCCCAATTGTTGAACCGCATCCGCCTGGTCCACCGGCTTGTCCCCGACCGACAGCGCCGCTGCTTCCAGCGCCTCCCCCACCGTTATCCCATTACCACCTCCTCCGGAGGCGGCCGCCTGTAGTGAGACCCCTCCTGTCGTGTCCACATACTGCCCCACCACCTAATAGATCTCGAAAATTAACTTCATCAAACTAAATCGGAGAAAAAATAATTAACACTAATGGGTTTTTGATTTGGTTTATCTGGCCGGCAACTATATCAGTGACGACGCGGGTGCCACTGACGTTAGTGGCGGTGACGGAAACCTCGCCTTCTCTGACGGAGTCGGTGACTTGGTTGCGATGGACGATGCCAATTCCGTAGTTGATTGCCGCGACAAATTCCATGACGGCAGCGGGCCCGCCTCGGAGGCTCTACCCAGCCCCAAGCGCCTGGCGGTGTCAAGATTCCTCGATTGTGGCCATGGACGATAAATCGTTGTTCACGATGCTGACCATGGTGAGTGGCATTGGTTCGTGGTCGGGTATTGGTATGGGAGATTACTAGAAATTAGGATTTTTTATTTATTTTAAATAAAAGTGATAATGAGGTAGAAATGAGGTGGCAATCTTTAAAAAATTAATTTTATTAATTTTAAATTGCAACGTCACACATTTAACGGTCAACTTTTAGAGTTGACCGCCACGTAAACAAAATTTAACGGAGTTGGACGGAGAGTGACCAAACGTTAACGGTTTCAGTAAAGTGAAGTACCACCAATGGATATAAATATTTCGAGTGACCAAACTTGAACGTTTTTTGTAATCTCAGTGACCAACCATGCAATTAACCCGATAGTTATTTCTTACTTAACAGTTAAATTAGAAGCGTTATATAAGTCTTCCATAATGATTTAACAGATTGTGTAACGGAATATTAATATTCATTACGTAAAATGATTATCTATTACGTAAGATTTCCGTAATGACATTTTTCAACTATTACGTAAGATAAATACACATTATGTAACCATTACGTAATATCTATTATATATTATGTAATACAACTTGTGAAACCTATTATAGCAAGTCAAAAACATCAACTTACAAGGTATTTTTGGAATTTCCGATGTCTATAGAGTAAAAAGATGAGCGGGGTGATAGTAATAAGTTGAGAAGATAGAGGAAATTGGAGTTTCGGTATGTAATTTACATTTTAGCTCTTTATTTACATTTTTTTTTTTGAAAGAACACTCTTACTATTGATGAATTACATAATAATCACTAATTTTTATAATTATATAAAGAAGTCTTGGCGGAATGGAATTGGCCATTGGGTATCAAAATTTCACATGAAATATTTATGTGAAGGGGGATTTTGAAAAATCATCCTCCATATTCTTGGCTTTTGGATACTCGTGATTAATTTCTACTTCGTATATACTATAGTAACACAATCAAAACTTTAATAAACATGTAAATTTTGAGACGAGGTGCAGAAGGCGAGGTCAATTGGGCAGGTTCAAACTGGAATCAATTGAGTTACAAGTTAGTCGGATTTCAGAGTTCATCGAGTTGTGGGTCACTGATTCATTGGTTTGCAGGCCAATCGGGTTACGAGTTAATTGTGCTACTGGCAATCGCATTAAGAGTTGATCAAGTTGCGGGTTGTCAAAAATGTCAATTTTTTGTATATACATATGTATTTTAGCTTAAGATTATTACCATTCTATTTTTAATATGTCGAATCTTTTCCTTCCGAACTCACTCTTCTTATTCTCCGTGTCAATAAAAAGAAAGCACCAAATAACATTTTCTATGAACAATTAGACTAATTACTATAACCTCATAACTCAAATAAAAGTAAGGCAATATGTGATACCAATTTTTAAGTGAGATGAGAAATGATGGATATGAAAAAGAGAAAAAAAAATGATTGCCTACGAAGTTGAAATTAAATGACGACATAATTGAGTTTATATCGGGCACTATAAGTTTTTTCAAATTTCATCTACTGATTTTAAACCTTCCAAATTCAAACGGCCAACAAATTTGTAACAAAAACTTATTATCCTGTGGCGCAATAGATTTGTTATGCATTTTTAGGATTTTCAAATGTGAGAGTTAGACAAATCGTATAGGTGGTGAATTTTGATACCAAAGGCAACACCAAAGTTCAACATTCAAATGTTCATGTATTTACTTTTAAATATTCAATTGATTTTTTTTATGAAATCATGAATCTAATATGTGAAGAATAAAAACAGCAAGCTCCAAAAACATGATTAATAAACATAACCATGAACAAACTATATCACTAATATTACAATTATTAAGTCGCTAGCACACGGACTAAAAATTATACGTTATGTTAGTGTAATTAAATCCTAATCATCGTACTATATGTTTAAACATAAAATTCATCGAACCAATGATCACTCGGGTTGAAGGAGTTTATTAGTCAAACATGTGTGTAATTAGTGTGGCAACCTGACTATTAATTAGTCATTAACAAATTCATATATACCAAGTGGAAAAAGAAAAACTGATAGTTAAGAAAAGATGGCTCCATAGTCCATACCATTCAACGGACCTAAACCCCATATTCTGCTTTTTCTAGAACACAAACACAAGCGTAGGTAACTGACGATATATTTTCACTAAAATATCCAATTCAAAGGAAAAAGCGTGCCATCCAACAGTCACATGAGCACTGCTATAGCCTATATATAAGCACCGTCACTCCCGCTTCATTATATTATCACAAAGCTCTCCAAAAAAACAAACCGCAATCTCCTTCACCCTCAAAACCAGAAACAGTTAAAAATGGCAACCACGGTTTTGAACTCCGAAGCCGACCGGCTCGCCCAGCTGAAGGCATTCGACGCGACCAAAGCCGGGGTGAAAGGCCTGGTGGACGCCGGAGTAACCGAAGTGCCTTCGATGTTCTACACTCCACCCCACCTCCTCGACAACAAACCACCCCCGGCCGACGACAAGAAGTTCACTTTCCCGGTCATCGACCTCCAAGGCGTGGCCACCGATCCGGCCAGGAGGAAAGAGATCGTGGAGAGAGTGAGGGATGCTTCCGCCACGTGGGGTTTCTTCGAGGTGCTCAATCATGGGGTTCCGTTGAATGTTCTGGAGGAGATGAAGGACGGGGTGAGGAGGTTCTACGAGCAGGATTTGGAAGAGAAGAAGGAGTTCTTCACCAGGGATTACACAAGGAAGATTGTGTATAACAGTAACTTTGACTTGTTTACGGGACAGGTGACCAACTGGAGGGACACCACTGTTTTTTACATGGCTCCTGATCCTCCCAAGCCCCAAGAACTCCCTGCTGCTAACAGGTACAAACAATACGTGCACACATATGAAGATCGATATCAACGGGTTAATAAATTATGATTCTCTCCAAATATCTCGAATTACTCGTATCAATTGATTCGTGATATAGTATTAAAACTTTCTATGACAAACCAGAAGAGGGTGAATGAAATTGGACAAATTAACCCAATTCTGGCGGTGCCATTGCTCTAAAAAAAACCGGCCCTATAGTGTCAAACATCCATGAACCGCCCCGACCATATTTATCTTTTGCATGCCCGGCCTATGCGGGTAGGGCTAAGTTGTGTCGGATCAGTGGATCGATTCACATAAATAAACACTATCTCTTTTTTAATTATATTGTTGTACCCAAACCTATTTTTTCTTATAATTTAGCTATATTTTCTTGCAAAAAGGTCCAAAAAATTTTGTGGTAAAATTACGTTTTAGCATTATTTTTTACTTTCCATTATGTTACCTAAACTCTTAAAACTTTACAAACAAGTTCAATTTGTTTGTATGAGAAATTTCACATTACTGGTTATTGCTATACGGGTCATAAGACAAAAGATGACAGGGCGGCCACGGTTAATGGGTATCTAGAGCCAAACATACAACCCTATATCGAGAGATATTTTATTCAAATCCTAGTGACCTCTATCTGTTCTGTTAAACACATGATATCCGGACTGTGCAAACTTCAACCCTATATAAGTTGTTTTCATTTGAAAGCGATGTGTTAATAACTTGTATATGATCCATACTTCAATTTCCACCAACTCGAGTTACTAAAATCAATTGATTCTTGACAAAACGATCTACTTAATCATTTGGTGTAATAAATTTTCAAATGTTATCTGCAGGGAAATCCTGATGGAGTATTCCAAGGAGATGCTGAACATGGGTTACCTCATCTTCGAGCTGCTGTCTGAGGCTCTGGGACTCGACACAAACTACCTGAGAAACAAGGAGTGCTTGATGGGACATAACTTCGTATGTCACTATTATCCACCATGCCCGCAGCCTGATAAAACCCTAGGAGCCAGCAAGCACGCAGACACCGATTTCATGACCATTCTCTTACAAGACCATGTTGGAGGGCTCCAGGTCCTTCACCAAAACCAGTGGGTCGATGTGCCTCCATTGCCGGGGTCCCTTGTCATCAACATCGGAGATCTCCTACAGGTATAACTAACTAATCGAGACCGCGATGTGGTTTGTTTTCTCGTGTTTCAATCTACTGCATCCTGATTTTGTGTATGCTTTTGAATTTTTTTTCCAGCTCATGTCGAATGACAAGTTTGTCAGCGTGGAGCATAGGGTGCTGGCGAATCGCAGTGCTGGACCGAGGATATCCGTGGCGTGTTTTTTCAGCACGGGGATGTTACCGAACCCAAACAAGTATGAACCCATTGAGGAGCTGCTGTCGGAAGAGAATCCTCCCAAGTACAGGGCGACCACGGTTTCGGAGTACGTGACGTTTGTTACGAACAAAGGGCTTGATGGGAAATCTCCTCTTCTGCACTTCACGGTCTGAGCTAGTTTTGGGAACACTCTGGACATGATGAGTAGTATTGTTATGAGAAGAAGTTGGGAATGAAATCAAATGAAGCTTGAATGATTAGAATGTGACTGAAACAAAAATGTAAGAGCGGGATGGAAGATGACTAATAAGTTGTTATAACTTCTTTTATATCTATGTAAGGTTGAGCAGTGCTACTATAGTATGTTGCTGGTATTTCTAATAAAATAAAAGGGTTTCTAGCTAGTACTGAAATACGCAGTTAATGATATATATTACACTATATATCTATCATGATAATAATAATAATAATAATTATTATTATTATTATTATAATATGTAGTGCAATTCATCTTTTATACTTCTTCATTTAAGCCATTTTTAATTAGAAAAGGACAAACATGAATTAATCAAAACAACTAACAAAAGTTTCTCTCTTTTGGAGGGTAGGATGACTTTTCCTTAAGAGTGTTGTTGAACATGAGTGACCCAGCCATAAGAGTGCTTTGTTGAAACTTTTATACGCTTTGACACCACTTATTATCCCTGATAGAAAATTGATAGAAAATTTATCAATTCATCATTCACCCACATTTATCACTCACTCGTGAACACTATTCTCCATGATTCTAACAATATAATCCGGAGTCCGGACTAAAAAATCAGTCGTAAAATCTGTACATTACATGTTTTGAGAAAATCTACTCCTCCAATCTATGGAACAATTTGTTAAACTAACATTATTATAGTACAAAACCCTTAATAATTTCAAAAAATAAATTCCCCTACCACATGCACGATGCACAAATACTGGAAGGAAGTCAAAAGTATCAACCAATGAGACCGCGACGTAATTAGTCCATCGTGTCCAGGCCCAGGCCCAGGCCCAGTCAGGAGAAAAGAAAATTGGTCTGACGAAAGCACACCGTTTAAAAAGCTCGACTCACTCGCCATCAGCTAATACGAAAACCGAAACAGAGGAAAAGGAACGGAAATGGCGTTGTTGAAGAAGAGCGCCGAACACAACAACCACTCTCGCCTAATCAAGCTCCGCGAATTCGACGACACGAAATTAGGCGTGAAGGGACTCGTCGACGCTGCAGTGGCCACGGTGCCGGAAATTTTCAGAATCAACAAAAAACAATCTTCCGACCTCGACCACAGCTCCAATTCGGCGCTCTGTATTCCGGTCATAGATCTCAAGCACCCAATTCCTACCACGGCGGCGGAAGCGCGCAGGGAGATCGTCGGCGGAATCCGCGGCTCCTGCGAGGAGTGGGGGTTCTTCCAGGTGCTCAATCACGGGATCCCGGATGGGATTCTTGATGAGATGATTGAAGGGGTCCGGAGATTCCACGAGCTGGACCCGGAGATCAAGAAGCGGTACTATACCCGGGACCTCTCTGGGTTTTTTCTTGTTTCCAACTTCGATTTGTACCGGTCCGCCGCCGCCAGCTGGCGCGATACGATGGGCTGCGTCGCCGCTCCCGATCTTCCCCCGCCGGAGCAACTACCTGACGCAATCAGGTACGTAGACATATCTGATCGAGATCGAGATCGAGATCGAGTTAGGTGGCTTCTTTTATTTCGCCGCTAATGTTGAATGCAATTTATTTCACAATATATTATATTGTGTCCCGTTCTTCTTATCTTGCCTATCTTATCTTGTCTAACTAGAAGTTTGGTATTCGTGTTTGCCTATTTGGGATAATCGAATATCGGATATCCTACAGAATTTAACACTATATATAATTTTTTAATCAAATAACAACTTATATTTTAGGCATTGAAATTGGAATTGATTTTAGAATGTTATTTTGTATTGAGAATTATTATATTAAAACCTGTATACTTATTAAAAATACCGAGAATTTATAATTTCAATATAAACCACAAATTTTGGTCACTGCACACACTTGACAATTTGCAATCTCTCATCCCATCCAAGCTTAGCTTCCAAGTTTTCCACCGATTTTGATAAGAATATCAATACTGTACCGATTTCCATCCTAATCTTTTCGTGAAAAAGGAGAAAACAAATTAAGTCAGGAGTGGGGTATTAATGTGTACTATGAGAATTACAGGGACATATTGATGGAATACAGCAAACAAGTGAAGAAACTGAGCAAGACAATCTTGGAGCTCCTGTCAGACGCACTGGGCCTAGAACCCAACCGGCTAAATCAACTGGGTTGTGGGGCGGGACAGCTGCTCCTTGGCCACTACTACCCAGCATGTCCTGAACCGGAGGTGACCATCGGGGTGACGGACCACACCGATGCCAGCTTCATCACCATCCTTCTCCAGGACCAAATCGGAGGCCTCCAAGTTCTTCATCGCAACAAGTGGGTCGATGTCCAACCGAGGAAGGGCGCTCTAGTCGTCAATCTCGGTGACCTTCTCCAGGTTAGCCCTTCTTTTTTTCTCGATCCATCATTCGTTTCGAACCCGATTCATCGAAAGAACATTTGTGATTCGCTGAGGAGTTAGAAGTGAAATAAAGCATCCTTATCTACTTACAATAGTACGAACGCAAATTGACGTAAGTTTGCTTCATGGATTTGGATGATGGATTTGGCACCCTTCCATCATGGATTTAAGAAAAATCCATTGTTTGCTTGCACTTTTTTAGAGACCAAATCCGTGAGGTCCAAAGATTTTAAGGGTCCAAATTCGTGGACCCCACGGACTTGTAAATCCCTCACGTTGATGTGGGATTTGGAACATGACATAATCCTTGATGGAATTTTACCCATGTACCCTCATGAACTTTTAATATTCCAAGGTTGCCCTCAAATTTAACTATTATACATTATAATTAATCAATTAATTAACAACAAATGAATAATATAAATATTCAATTAATGTGTTAGATTTTTTATATCATTTCTTATGTTCTAGTTTTCTTTGACCTTTTCATGGAACGTGTAATTCGTTGTTCTCCCGATTCTAATATATGTTGTTATATGTTACTTTTGAAAAGGAGGACAAAGTATTGGTAATTTATTATGTTACGTTAAAAGTTAAACGAAATTTTCCCGTGTATTATTATTGTCCATGTGGCAACGTTATGCTTATTAGTATGTATTGTCCTTATTTTGTGTACATATCATAAACATGCCAAACATATACAAAATGATAGTAAGATAATTTTGAAGTATCGTCCTTGTTTGTGTACATATAATAAACATGTCAAACATATAGAAAATGATAGTAAGGGAATTTTGGACTTCAAGTACTAAATCTCATACCCTTAAATCCATGATAAAAACATTTCAACAAACAAAGGATTGTTACAAATCCTTGATAAATCCTTGGGTTTTTAAATTACAAAACTCGCATTTTCAAATCCATGAAGCAATGCCCCAATTGTCACGACAATCGATATTGGTGTTTTGAGAATACGCTTTAACGACCAATGACTAACGATGGTGTTTCTGGTTAAATTGTGCTTGTGCAGCTCGTATCGAATGACAAATTTATTAGCGTGAGCCACAGGGTCGTACCCAAGCGAATCGGTCCGAGGATTTCAGTGGCGTGTTTCTTGAGGCCGCTCGTCCACAAAGGGGATACGGACAGCCCTCCGGTGTACGGACCCATACCGGAACTGTTGTCGGAAGAAAATCCTCCGGTGTATAAAGAAGCCGACGTGAGGGAGTTCATGAGAATTCATGCGTCTAGAGGACTGGATGAACCGTCGCCACTCCAACACTTCAAAGTGTAACGAAGTCAGCATTGTTTTCAAACGTGGGTCTTGGTCTTCTTGGTCAATTACTCAATTTAATCGACTCTCTGTTTTATCTCACCAAGGGTTTGGTTTCGGAGTGGGAGTCCGAAGTTGAAATTAGGAGCAATCTTTTTTTTTAAATATATATATATATATATATATAGAACATTAATGAGCTAATGATTGACAAAATTATATCTTGTTTGATATTTCAAGTGATCTAATAGTTGGAAATACTTCGTTGTACTTGTGTAAATCAAAATTGTTAATCATTATTTGGATTTAAAAAATTGAGGATTGTGGTTTGTCTATTAGAGGTTAGGATATATTATTATACCCCAATTTTGATTTGATTCATGGTTATTTAGCAAAATCTCACTAAAACTACTCGGAGTATCATATATTATAGGATTACATGAGTCTAACATGTATGTGGGCACCGGGCCGTGCCCCACACGGGCTAGCACGACACGTCACGGTAACAGCATGGCATGAGCACAGGCACGAAACAAATGGGCTAGCCCGGCAAGAGCACGAATAATTTATGGACCGTGTCGGGCCTAAACTTCATGAACACGGGCACGGCACGGTATATAAGTGGGCCGTGTCGGGCCTAATATTTTCGAGACTTTATTGAGTATAAGAACGGACATGGCACAAAAATAATATTTATTTTATAGAAAATAAATATAAAAAGAATTATAGGTTCAAATATTACAAATTACAAGTAGAAAAATAATTATTTGTTACTGTTAGAAGTATCATAAAGATATATACATAATTACAACCATAAGTAAAAATGGACGAAGAATTAAACAAAGTCAAATCACACTCCCTATACTTCCTATTTTCTTTTCTCCCTTATTTGTTACTTTTTCATACATTATCGGTTAATATTATCTTTCTCCGTCCAATTTTCACATTCTTTTTCTTCCTTTTCATTAAACACTAATACGAGCCTGACACGAGCACGAATAGGCACGGGCACGGTTATTATCGGTTAATACTATCTTTCTCCGTCCAATTTTCACCTTCTTTTTCATTCTCTCTTCTGTTTTCTTCCTTTTCATTAAACACTAATACGAGCATAGCACGAGCACGAATAGTCACGACACGTTTCGAACCGTGCCCGTGCCTGGGCCGGGCCTAGCAAAGTTAACAAATGGGCTTGCATGTCACGGCACGAAAACTGAGGGGCCGTGCCAAGCACGGCACGAAATAAATAAGCCGAAGCGTGCCCGTGTCGTGCCGGCCCAAGCACGACCCAGCGCCCATGTACAGTCTAACACATATAAATAAATATTTAATTACAGATAGGGTGTATTATCATCACAAATCTAGTTAATTCGAGTTCTAAATAGCCTCATGTACTTAGGGTATGTGGTAGCCTAAATGTATCCTATTGTACGACGGAAGCCATCATGTATATTATACTATATATGGAGTGGCTTCTATTGTATATCAGGTAAATCTAGGTGTATCTCGTGATTTACCCGTTTGTTCTTGATTCGGCCTATGGTTCCAAAATTCCGGTACAAAATCCAAACGTACAAAATCTTGTGTCTTATCATCTTTTATACAATCTTAGCATTCTTTTTATGATTTTGTCACCCATTGTAAGATTCGAATCAGGGATGAAAAAAATTATATTAGGGGTGGTAAATATTATATTAGGGGTGGTAAAATACGTCGTTTTGTACGTTTTGTATATTTGAGTTTTTTACAGATCATTTTCAATAATGAGAGCAAAAATAAAGATTATCTATATTATGTGGACCTTTTTGGGTAAAAAAAAATAGAACGATAATTTCATCCACCCAAGCCAACCACCCATATTTATCGCTAAAATTAAGGTGTAGGTGTGTGATGGTTTTCCTTTGTGACATCCGTGTCTTTTGAGATGAGTGTAGGTTTTGGGTGACACAACGCAAATACTGAGCAACTCATGCTACAACTATTCTCCTAGGTGTCCATATCCAAAATAGATTTGTGTCATGTACAAATATATTTCGGAAGAAGTTAGAATATTTTTTCATAATTTTCTCTCATGGTTTTGCTATCCTAATGCATTATTCAATTCAAAATTTAGATCTAGGTTTATTACATGCTATGGTCGCATGTTTTTATTCTTGTGTGCAATTTTACAGCCATAACATATTATGTACACGTTAGTTTAAAAAGAATAACTTCTATAGTTTATTTCATCAAATATTTATGAAGAAAATAGACTAATGTGTGAATCAAATTTCACTTCATCAAGATCCAAGCAACAAGTTCTATGGATTTTGATGCTTTTCCTCTCGGTTGATTTACTTGAATTTTTAATGTATTATATAATCTTTTCTTTTTTTGGTAATTAGAGTTGTCTATTAGGCTCTTCTTGGCTAATACAGCGCAAGAGGTCGAAAAAAATACTTAGGCTTTTGAAGCCGTACAAATGCAGCAAAACCACATTACATTCTCACCCACTCTAAAAACTAAAGTTGTTATGCAAAATCTGGGTTTCACATCTTATAGAAATGAACCTCCTCTCGCATAACCGAGGCTAGCAAATCTGCACTTCGAGCTGCTTCTCCAAAGATCCTCCTACAACGTTCCTTCCAGAGCACCCCAACTCCCCAACACCACAAGGCACTTAGGATCGGGCCTTCATTCCTCATGTACCAGCTTCCAATAATCTCCATCATCTGCTGCCAATTTGTAGGTAATCCAAATCCATTGCCAAAAAGGGAAAGAAGAAAATCATATGTATACTTACAAGTACAAAACAAGGGCTCTCTCATTTCCTGCTCCAAACCACACAACACACATTGATCATCCACAATCACATTCCATAGCTTTAGTTTATCACAAGTTTTAATTAGGTCAAGGATGATTAACCAGACCAGAAATATGTACTTCGAAACTGTGAATTTGCCCCACAACACCTTCCACCATTTCACCTCAGGTCTCTTATCTTTAATAGACTTCCAAACTGTTCTTATTGAAAACTTTTGCATCGACTTCACTTCCCAATGTACAACACCTTGAGGATCACTTCCAAAAAGAACAGTTTTTAAGTCTATGTGCCATGATCCAGGCAACCCAGAAACTGCCTCATCGCATGAACAGCGACCACACCAATCTAGCAACAAAAGCAACATTCCAAGATAGTAAATCTTTTAAACAAAGGCCCCCCTCTTTCTTAGGAGTAGCCAGAATATGCCAAGCAACCTTGGCTTTACCCGTGCCATCACCAAACCATAGGAAATCTGAACAAATTTTCTAAATTCTCTTAATGAGCTTCTTAGGCAAAATGAAGATAGCCATCCAGTAATTCACTAATGAGAACAGAACTAACTCCAGACCCTCTCAATTTGAGTCCCCAGCGGGCGACTAACCTCCACCAGAGTAAACAGATTGAGGCCCTAACGAACCAAACCTCCTCTACCGGAGTAAATTTGGTACAAAATAGTGAATTGACTCCTCGACTAAAGTCGTCAATTCACTACCTTCAATCAAGGGTGCTCTTTCAACCTAGCCAGATATTCTCTTTCTAGGTCAAAGCAGAAATAACAGGAATTTGATCAGGATTCATGTCATTCAGGAAATCAAACCTCAATTGAATATAATCAATATCAATGAATTCATACTTGGGTTCATACAATCAGACCTAACATACAAATCTAGGGTTCTTCATACCCAGGTGAGTGAGAGAGTTTACTCCATAAAGAGAGAAGGGAAATCTAGCTCAGATGCAGAAAACATGTTGTGAAGGATGAGA